CTGTGACTGTAACACACCTGAGCTGAGCTGTGACTGTAACACACCTGAGCTGAGCTGTGACTGTAACACACCTGAGCTGAGCTGTAACTGTAACACACCTGAGCTGATCTGTAACTGTAACACACCTGAGCTGATCTGTAACTGTAACACACCTGAGCTGATCTGTGACTGTAACACACCTGAGCTGTGACTGTAACACACCTGAGCTGTGACTGTAACACACCTGAGCTGATCTGTAACTGTAACACACCTGAGCTGATCTGTAACTGTAACACACCTGAGCTGATCTGTAACTGTAACACACCTGAGCTGATCTGTAACTGTAACACACCTGAGCTGATCTGTAACTGTAACACACCTGAGCTGATCTGTAACTGTAACACACCTGAGCTGATCTGTAACTGTAACACACCTGAGCTGATCTGTAACTGTAACACACCTGAGCTGATCTGTAACTGTAACACACCTGAGCTGATCTGTGACTGTAACACACCTGAGCTGTGACTGTAACACACCTGAGCTGTGACTGTAACACACCTGAGCTGAGCTGTAACTGTAACACACCTGAGCTGTAACTGTAACTGTAACACACCTGAGCTGAGCTGTAACTATAACACACCTGAGCTGAGCTGTAACTGTAACACACCTGAGCTGTGACTGTAACACACCTGAGCTGTAACTGTAACACACCTGAGCTGAGCTGAGCTGTAACACACCTGAGCTGAGCTGTAACTGTAACACACCTGAGCTGATCTGTGACTGTAACACACCTGAGCTGTGACTGTAACACACCTGAGCTGAGCTGTGACTGTAACACACCTGAGCTGAGCTGTAACTGTAACACACCTGAGCTGATCTGTGACTGTAACACACCTGAGCTGTGACTGTAACACACCTGAGCTGATCTGTGACTGTAACACACCTGAGCTGTGACTGTAACACACCTGAGCTGTAACTGTAACACACCTGAGCTGAGCTGTGACTGTAACACACCTGAGCTGAGCTGTGACTGTAACACACCTGAGCTGAGCTGTAACTGTAACACACCTGAGCTGATCTGTGACTGTAACACACCTGAGCTGATCTGTGACTGTAACACACCTGAGCTGAGCTGTGACTGTAACACACCTGAGCTGTAACTGTAACACACCTGAGCTGATCTGTAACTGTAACACACCTGAGCTGAGCTGTAACTGTAACACACCTGAGCTGTAACTGTAACTGTAACACACCTGAGCTGATCTGTAACTGTAACACACCTGAGCTGAGCTGTGACTGTAACACACCTGAGCTGAGCTGTAACTGTAACACACCTGAGCTGTGACTGTAACACACCTGAGCTGAGCTGTAACTGTAACACACCTGAGCTGAGCTGTAACTGTAACACACCTGAGCTGTGACTGTAACACACCTGAGCTGAGCTGTAACTGTAACACACCTGAGCTGAGCTGTAACTGTAACACACCTGAGCTGAGCTGTAACTGTAACACACCTGAGCTGATCTGTAACTGTAACACACCTGAGCTGAGCTGAGCTGTAACACACCTGAGCTGTGACTGTAACACACCTGAGCTGAGCTGAGCTGTAACACACCTGAGCTGATCTGTGACTGTAACACACCTGAGCTGAGCTGTAACACACCTGAGCTGAGCTGTAACTGTAACACACCTGAGCTGTGACTGTAACACACCTGAGCTGAGCTGTAACTGTAACACACCTGAGCTGAGCTGTAACTGTAACACACCTGAGCTGTGACTGAGATGAGATATGCTGTAACTGTTTGCACTGATTTGACGGAATCTCAGGGTTAGAGCAGTTCTGCTCCTGATTACAGAGGCTTTAGTTAGACATCAACCACAACATTACACTAGTTAACCCCCACACAAACACTGAGGTACTGCTCTGTAAGCAGTTTTACACCGTTACCATGGTAATAAAACAACTGCTGACAACTTAAATATTTCAACAACTGAAGATGATCATTTTATGCTGATTTATGTAAGACAGTGGATGCAGCTTCAATATTCCTCTCCTGTATTTCGCTCACGGACCAACTTACCAAATACAACAAAATAAACCTTAAAATAAATGTGAATCACATGAAGTGAATGTGCTGATAAATATCAGGCGTCAGTGCGTCACATTTACAGTAGAGTCGCTAAGAGCCGCTTCAAGATTCCCGAATCAAAACCGAGTTAGTGGAGTTACTGGACTGTAAACCGTGTGAAGAGTGAAAACAACCTGTTGTTGCCGCTCAACTTCTCCAAACTCCCAGAAAGTGACGCACCTGTGAACGCCAGGAGTGAAATCCAGCATCTGACGAGTGAAATCCTTCTAAACCGTTCCGTTCCGTTACCCGTAGCAGAATTCCGATCGTGTTTTCCTCGTGTTTTTCGCTTCATTTTCCGTCCGTCTCTTCTGCGTCTCGCGAGTAACGGGTCTGAGTGAACGGAGGCGCGCGCCACCCAGAGCGCGTTACCGAGGACTTTCAAGGAGGGGTTTTATTTTCAACAAAATATCACACTTTCATTGTATATATATTATTATATACATCATTATGTATACATTATATATATGAATATATATAATATGACAAAATATCACACTTTCATTATATATATTATTATATACATATCATTATGTATACATTATATATATGAATATATGAATGTATATATGAATACATTATATCATTATATATATATATATATATATATATATATATATATATATATAATATATATATATATATATATAATGAAAGTGTGATATTTCACTTTTCATATAAAAACATAAACTATACAAATCTAAAAAACATGACCAAAAAAAAAAAAACAACAATTGTAAGAAATTATGTATTTTTACATTTTACGTCAATGTTCCCGTTACATTATCAGCTTTTCACAAATCCACACTAAACCGGTAAAGACGATCATCATGACTCTAAAGCATTAATTCAAGAAGTTGATATTAGACTTGAATCAATAATGATTTCGCCCTCTAGTGTTTTAGTGTTATATCGGTGTATTAGTGTGTGAGTCGGCCGGGGCATGTTGTCACACGCTATGTGTCATGTGGTTTTGTCTAACACAACAGGTTCAAAACTTACTTGTTTTTTGCATTGTTTATTGATTAAACACGATGGTCAAATGGATTTTTAACCAGTAAAATAGCCTATAGCTAGGCCTACTATTGTGAACGCAGGGATAATCAGTAGGGGTTCAATCTTTCACTGGCTGGCAGTAGCCGCCATAGATATCTATATAAAGGTAGATACTCGTCCGCGCTGCTGGCCAATGGAGGTCGACGTCTGCACCTGGCGGCCATCTTGTCACAGGCAGCTCGTTCACTGGTAACATTGTTTTAATGGTGCATGTACTTTTTAAATCACCGTAACTTGCTCAATTTTCTACCGATTTTCAAACGGTCTGGTTTGTTATAAACGGCAGATATGTAGTTATGATGCATAATTATTAATAATAAGTGTATAAATAAATAATCATCAAGAATTATAGCCACATTAATAACGTTTGTAAGAAACCAAACCGTTTGTAAATCCGTCAAGATTTCAACGAGATAAGAGTATTTCTTACATCAGATACCACAGAGCCCGCCAGAAAGCCTGTCTGTGACAAGATGGCCGCCAGTGATGACGATAAATAGTCCGCCGTGAGACATCTAGCCTTTATATAGATATCTATGGTAGCCGCCACTAGCAGGTCACGGTCTGCCTTTGGCAAGTTTCAGAAACCATTGATTTTTGACAGTTTTTTTGTTTTTTGTTCCCCCCTTTCTAGCTCATTTATTATGAATCTGTTGATATGAATAATGTTCTTTAGTATGATTGCTGTTTTGTGGACTGTTATTCCAACATAACCAGTCAATTGACCGTGAATTGGCACTCCTAAAAGGAAAATTCGGTCATCACACGTGCAGATCATGTGGGTCCGTCGGTCCATGACCTATTCTGGACATCTATTCAACGTCCAAACTAGGTCTCCTATTTGGACGTCCAACCATGACCCAACTTTGGCGTCATTGATGTTCAACATTGGACTGAACGCGGTCTTTTTTTTTTTTTTTTTTTTTTTTTTTTTTTTTACCTTATTCGGACGTCTATTACACAGTTTACGTGATTAATATTTGTTTTATTTACAAATATAAACATTGTTGTTATAAACATGATTGATACGAAAATGTATCAGATTATTTATAATTATTTAAGATAATTTCCAAAAACTTAATTTGATTGTCTCAACCAAAAGGTGGTAATGACACACATGAAGGTGTAGCGCTGTACCAGTAGAGCGTTGGCGCTTGTGTGACGCCACCTAGTGCAACACCAAGATCATGGGTTCGGTTCCCTGTGAAAGCAATGGAATAGGAATGTAAATGTGTAACGCAGTGTAAACCACTGCAGGATAAAAGCGTCTGCCAAATGCATAAATGTAAATATATGGCACAGAAATCATCTTCTACCCTTTTGAAACATGGGACTACAGTTATAGAAGATACTAAATTTGATGTTGAAAAAACGTCCACAGACATTTGGTCCCATCCGACGTCAACATTAGCCATTGTTTTGGCTTTACAGCAGCTCTAGAATTAAGTTATTGTCCAGCTAAAGTAAGTTTTGATTGATTCACTTTGTAATAGAACATTTTGTAAAAAAAAAAAAAATAAATAAAAAAAAAAAAATAAATAAATAAATAGAAAAGGACAGAATGTTCTTCTCAGAAATAGATAATTTTGCTTGCATCAAGAAAACATGTTTAGTTGTTTTTTAAATGACATATGTGTTTTACTTGTGGGTAGACATAGATGAGAAGTGTTAGAATATGGGAACTGAGAACTGCGTGCCAGGGCCCTTAGTCTGAAGATAAGAAAGATAAGATAATAATAATTTGTAAATAATGTTGTGCTTTCTTCCAGATCATCTCAGTATTGAATAGTCCGATAATATCATACCATCCAAAAATACCATCAAACTGAGAAATTACTGTAATAAAAACATGGCTTTAATAATATCATTACAACTTATAAAATAAACAGCATGGAAACGATATCAGAACATACAGTATAATTTACAAATCATTGAATACAATAAAAACATCAAAAATAATATATATGAGATTCTCTATTGTTCAATACATTTATGTCATATACAGGTATTTCCCATGACATGATCCTAATTTAATGTTTAAGAATAATTACATTTACTAACAATTTAAATTAAATGTCCGGATGCAAAACTCACAGACTGACGTGAACAACAGGGACAGTTTTCATAACGATGAATTACAGATGTGAAGCTGCCGGATGATAGATGACCAGTGCTGAGCTGAGCACGGGTTAGTTAGGCGTCTGATGACCAGTGCTGAGCTGAGCACGGGTTAGTTAGGCGTCTGATGACCAGTGCTGAGCTGAGCACGGGTTAGTTAGGCGTCTGATGACCAGTGCTGAGCTGAGCACGGGTTAGTTAGGCGTCTGATGACCAGTGCTGAGCTGAGCACGGGTTAGTTAGGCGTCTGATGACCAGTGCTGAGCTGAGCACGGGTTAGTTAGACGTCTGATGACCAGTGCTGAGCTGAGCACGGGTTAGTTAGGCGTCTGATGACCAGTGCTGAGCTGAGCACGGGTTAGTTAGGCGTCTGATGACCAGTGCTGAGCTGAGCACGGGTTAGTTAGGCGTCTGATGACCAGTGCTGAGCTGAGCACGGGTTAGTTAGACGTCTGATGACCAGTGCTGTGCAGTTTGGCACTTTGTAAGACGGAAGCCTGAATACTAAATCAGCTGCATGAGGAACTTTGGTGAAACCAGTTAATCTACCAACACAAGCTTGAATGTTTTATTTTGAAACAATACAAAAATAAAGCAATGGGCTAAAAAAAAGATTCACCAATATTTATTCCTACTATATGAATATTAAGAGATTAAGAAGACATAAATTCAAGGAAAACCCAGACGAAACATCAACAGAGAAACGTAAAAAGAGTCGTAAAAATAGAGAAAGACACTTAAATATGAGACGAGGGTAATGGCCTGTCAGAACACATGACCAGCGGTGAAGTCCATACATCACATCATCGCCTCATGCAGGATCAGGACACTGGTGTGCGTCGGCTGCTTTCTCCAGCGTTAGATTTATTAAAGCCCTTTCATTCTATCAAATCTAATATTCAGAATATGGGGATAAACTTTTGTTGTTGCAATACTTTAGTGAATCTTAATCAAAAACTTGACTTAGAGTGTCAATTTTGATATATTAATATTTTGATGTCATAATTATGATGATTGTGCTTCTGTGGCTGAGGAATGAATCAGTGTCTGTTGAACTCAGATTCTCGGGTCTCTGGGTTTAGTGGGCGGAACGCTAGGAGGTCTGTCGCGGCTGTCGTAGCGCTCGGAGTAGCGGTCGCTGTCGTAGTGGTCATCGTCACGACCTCGCCGGTCATCGTATCGGTCGCGGCGGTCATCGTAGCGATCTCGGCGGTCATCGTAGCGGTCGCGGTCACGGTCGCGGCGGTCATCGTAGCGCTCATCTCGATCGTAGCGCTCGCGCCGGTCGCTGTAGTCGTCTCGTCGGTCGGTGTAGTCGCTGCGCCGGTCGTAGCTCCTCTCGCTACGGTTGTCCTGCACATCAAGTCTGTCGGCGCTTTTCACGCGGCGTTCTTCCTCGTAGCTGACGAGTTCTTCCGGAGCGTCCTCTTTCTCCTCAGGGTCCTTGTCTGTGAACTCTCCTCCGTCGTGACTCCTGCCAAACACAGAGGAATAAAGGTTAGCATCCGCGCGGCGCTGGAGGAGATGTGGGTGTTCTGCTGCCGTACCCCATGGCGTATTCCTCAAGCTTCTTCTTCCTCCTCCGACAGCAATAGCAGCAGATGCAGATGATCCCGATGACAACCACTACGGCCACACCGGCTCCGATGAACCCGCCGACCGACGCCATGCTGATGGACGCTAGCCGGGGTTAAGACACAGAGAACAGCAGGTTAGTTAGTCAGGACTAAAGTCACGGCTGATCAGGTCTTCGGGAAAAGCTGCTGTTCTTACGTGGCATGACGGCCAGGGTCAGATTACACGATGCAGATCTGATTTCATTGGTGGACGTGCAGGTGTAGAAACCAGACGTTTCTTTGGTAACATTGAAGAGCGACAAAACTCCGTTTACTAAGGAGAGACGAAACACACACACACACATGTGATGCAGCCAGGAAAATCTTACGATTTACTCTCCCTCAAGCCATAGGTGTGTATGACATTCTTCTGTCAAACGAACACAATCACAGTTCTATTAAAAAATCTCCAGGCTCGTTCAAGCTTTCAGTGAATGGGCACCATTTTTATGAAGTGCAGAAAAGTGCATCTGTCGAGACACCAGACATAAATTAAAGTCTAAAACGAGAATATTTAAAGAGAAATGTGGGAGGAGCTTGAGTTTTTAGCCCAGCTCACTATTGGTTTGACTTAAAATGGTGCCCATTCACTGCCATTATTAAAGGGTTAGTTCACCCAAAAATGAAAACTCTGTCAGTATTTACTCACCCTCATGTTGTTCAACCCCGTAAGACCTTCGTTCATCTTCGCAACACAAATTAAGATATTTAAGATATTAAGATCGCTCCTGCATACAGTCCATAGGCTTCTTGAGGGAATGACTCTCGCTGGCATCGAAAAGTCATTAAAGACATCGTTAAAATAGTCCAAGTGACTACAGGGGCTCAATCTTAACTTTATCAAACGACGAGAACACTTTTAGTGCACAAAAACAACAAAAATAACGACTTTATTTCAACTATTCTCTTTCTTCTCCATGGGCCTGTAGTCAGTTAGCGTAGTGTGATTGTGTAAAGCTACGTCACACGAAGGCTCACTATTGGCCGACGCTGGTCATGTGTGTGATGCGTGTGACGTACAATAACAGAAGCTTACGCTATTAAACTAGTAACCTGACTCGCGCAGTGGGAGAAATAAACCAATAGTTGAAATAAAGTCGTTATTTTTGTTGTTTTTGCGCACAAAAGTGTTCTCGTCATTTGATAAAGTTAAGATTGAGCCACTGTAGTCACTTGGACTATTTTAACGATGTCTTTAATGACTTTTCGAGTCATTCCCTCAAGAAGCCTATGGACTAGTATAGGAGCGATCTTAATATCTTAAATATCTTAATTTGTGTTGAGAAGATGAACGAAGGTCTTACGGGGTTGAACAACATGAGGGTGAGTAAATACTGACAGAATTTTCATTTTTGGGTGAACTAACCCTTTAAACTCGAAGGACATTTTAAATAAGTTGATTTGTGTTCGTCGGAAAGTAGAATGTCGTATACACCTATACTAGTCGAGAGGCTTTGACATGTATTTGAGCTCACACACACACACACACACACTCAGACGTACCGTCAGTGGCCTTGGCCGGGTTGGGGCGGGGTCTGTTGGTGGTGTCGTAGCTCTGCCACCTGTAGGTCGGGGTGGGCGTCCCCTCCTCCGAGTGGCAGCTCAGTTTGATGTCCTGAAAGTATTCCGGCGTCCCTTCGATCTTGCAGACGGGCGTCGAGGGAGCCACTGCAACACCACAGCAACATCTTAACACTCAACAACCAGCACTGTACATCTCTCTCTCTCTCTCTGTAATACTGTTGAAGTGTTCGTGTTGCTAGAATGATTGATTTGTAGATGGAAATGGATAAGATAATAAACAGGAGAAAAGTGATTGAAATGTATATAATCTCTTAAATGTCTTAACTTGTTTGTTTGTTCTTATCAATTTTCTTGTCTAGGTCTAACTATTGTTTATGTGGCAAGTAGTCGTGTCCAGATCACTCCATCGGAATTTGTTTTGTGACATGCCTCCGTTATTAGAAGACATTTGACATTTCTGTCACATGACATCTTCAAATGAGGAAATTGACTGAAATTCTCAAAATATTCATCTGAAGTGATCCCTGTGTGTGTGTGTGTGTGTCTTACCCAAGACTATGAGTTTGGTGTTGGCAGACTGCCCGTCCTCATCGTTACTCAGGTTCTCCACCCCGCACTCGTAGACGCGCGTGTCCGCGCTGGTGACCTTCAGGAGCTGCAGATCTGCTTTTCCGGCCGGGATATCTTGCAATAGACTCGCTCGGCCTTTATATTTCGTCTGCACTTTGATTGAAGTGAGGATTTTAATCTGTGAAATGTATAAGCACACAACATGAACACATGAGCGCAGCGGTGGGATCAGTGCTAGCTGGAGCGGGTGCTGTCGTCCAGTACCGTGGGTTGGTCCGGCGAGTCTGCAGCCGCACTCCACGAGATCTGGACGTTGTGACCCGTCGGCTGCGGAGTGAATCTGCAGGGGATCGTCACATCATCACCTCTCGCAATCTTATATTCTTTAGCTGGTATAGTCACAGTCATGGCCGGAGAAGCGACCCGCACTCCTGTGAAACACACACACACACACACACACACACACACACACACACACACACTTCAGCAACTATAGGGAAATACATTCAACACTGCACAACATCAGACTCACACACCTGTATATCAGACATCACACACACACACACACACACCGTTCTCAACGCTGAAACTGTTTTTACTTCCTTTTTAGTGGAAACTGTGATATATTACCATTCAAACGTTTGTGGTCATTCAGTTTCTGTAATACTTTTCTTCATCAATGATGCATTGCATTGTCACAAAAGTGACAGTAAAACATTTACAAATTATGTTTTTTTTAATAAATACAGTTCTTCTGAACTTTCTATTTATCAAAGAACTCTGAACAATAAAATGTCAGAAGCAGCAAAACTGTGTTCAAGACAGATAATAATCCTAACTGTGTGTTGATCATCAGATCCTCAGTGATTTCTGAAGGGTCATGTGACACTGAAGACTGGAGTAATGATGATAAAGATCACAGAATAATAAATTACACTATACTACATATTCACATAGACAACAGCAGATTTACATTATAATAATATTTCACAGTTTTTACTGTATTTTTGATCAGATAAACACAGCTTTGGTGACTCTCGAACCCGCCAAGAGGGAACACCGACGGCCTGAGGTCAGACTAGCATATCTGTAAAGTTATGACGAAAATGTATGCAAGTTAATTAAACGTTTTACTGCTTAAATTCTTCACATATCACGAGACCTAAAGGAGTTCACTTGAGCAGAGCGAGTACAGGACTGATGTGGACAGTTGAGATCTTTTACTCTGTAGAGCTTGTGTGTGTGTGTGTGTGTGTGTGTGTGTGTGTGTGTGTGTGTGTGTGTGTGTGTGTGCGTGTGTGTGTGTGTGTGTGTGTTTCCGTGTGAAGCTCGTCTGGGCGTTGGCTCAGAGTTGCTGTTCTGTGGAAGGGCCTACAGATGCAGATAAATCACTCGATCACGCTGAATAACGCCGGCTGAACTGTATTCTGTTAGAGATTGTTTGATTAACGATGAGCTTGGGTTATTATATTACATTCAGAAGCACATGAAGAGTGAGCAGCCCAACACAAGCCTTCCTGAACGAGGGTTCCTCAGCTGGTGAGATCTGCAGCTCGACTGGGTCTGGAGGTTTGACCTGATGAGTAAACACACACACACACACACACACACACACACACAGACGAAAGCTCACTCACCGCTGATCAGCAGCAGAACCGCCAGCGTCCCCGGTGTGGCCGCCATCTCTCGAGTGTGTGTGTGTGTGTGTGTCACAGGTGTGTGTGGAGGAACTGGAGATGTTGAACACACTGAAACTCAGGTCGCTGAAGTCCCGCCCCGCACGAGTCTCGGCTTGCCTGATGCCTTTATATGTGTGTGTGTGTCTCACAGTTTCATGCTAAAGAAGTCACACAGACCACAGTGCTGCGGCACCCATATCTACTCAAGAGGAAGAAAACTCGTCCAAATGAACACTAAACAAGAAAATAATGACTTTTGTTGACTGGAATCAATGTTAGATGCTGTTTGTGAACTCTTGAAACTAATTTCTCGCCATTTTACAGAAAAACACACTGATTTGCATCAGATCCAGAGAAACTGGTTTGACAAGAAGAATATGATGAGGGAGTGGCAACACACACATATAACCACACACACACACACGCACGCACAGGAGATGATTTGATCATGTGATAGTAATGGTGACCAATCCACCAGTCAGGACTAATGAGCATATTTGAATTATTGGACCAATCAACACTATGCAGCTGATTTGCATTATTCATAATAAGACTCAACAGTGTCCTCTGGTGGCTGAAGGTCAGAATCACATGCAGTCTCCAATCTAGAAGAATGACATGACCCTTTATATTACCCGAGTACAATATCAGATCGTTAGATGATAATGTCATGAGGGTCCTCTTTTATTCCTGCTTTATTTCCAGATGATTCACTCACACATCATCTTAACACACACACACACACACACTTACCTGATCAGGGAGAGCTCGAAGGCAGGAGCTTGCACTGATGTCGGAGGGTGTGTGTTGTTCTCTATCATCATCTCGTGTTGGAGATCCCCGTATATCAGGATCGTTCACCGTGAGGATCTCCTTCCACAAGAGTAGAGAAGCGGTTCCTCTTTCCAGCTGTTGAAGACACATTCAGGGCCCTGACAGCCCAGGCCGAGACTCGTAGATGAGGAATGAGGCAACGGCTGCAGTTCTCCGGGTTCTCGAGGCTTCTTGAGCGTGAACCGGCTCCAGCCGAGCTCAAGTCAAGTCTTTTTAAATGTGTCTTGAATCATGACGGTGTTGTGCTCTCAGCTGATGATACTCACCTCAGCAAAAACAAACTGTGTGTCACCTGAGTGGTGTGTGTGTGTTCCTGGTTTATGAGGACGAGAGCATCAGGACGGCAGATGCTGATGACGTTTCAGATCTTTGGCATCAGCAACAAACCTTACGTTTAAAAGTCTACGTATTGTTGTGTTCTACTGATTATTGTGTGGTCAGCTGCATTTCTTCATGAGACTGGCCTGAGATGCATTTCTGGATCTCGAGCTCTGCCGTAGATCTACATATTAAACAACACACTGTGTGACTCGCGTGTGTATCTCATTCATCAGATCCCTCTACACACACTCATCTCTACACACACTCATCTCTACACACACTCATCTCTACACTCACACTCATCTCTACACACACTCATCTCTACACACACTCATCTCTACACTCGCCTCGTCTCGACGGGTCTAACGAGCCTGTGTGAGTCCGAGACACGAGCGCTGATTGGCTGATTGCTGATAATGGAGTCTGTAATGTGTGTGTGTGTGTGTGTGTGTGTGTGTGTGTGTGTGTGAGACTCTCGCTTCTCTGTGAATGTTCTTCATTAAGGAGATCTGGAGTAACGAGCGCTGGAATGAGAGGGAGGAATGCCACTTCTTCCATTATTATTCCTTTCCTTTCTTGCATCTTACATTACATCCAATGATTACTATTGCAAAAGACAAAAGCTACATTTTAGAAAATTAAAATAACATTCCTGAAAAAAAAAAAATAATAATTGTAAACGATATTTAGTTTTATATGGTCGTACCTCAAGTCTTTAAATTCACCATTAATTTAACATATAGCCTACTTGAACTAAACTACACTGACTGGAGTGAGAAATATACAACTAAATAGAAATAAAAATGAAATGTATAAGTGCGCTGTGTCCTGATTTCAGAGTAATTGGAATTGAATGGATCTTTGACTATACGGAACGAGACTTCCACAAGATGTCGAACACCAGTCGTCTGTTTACATCTCATTACGACTCGCGCTTCTGCTCGACTGCCGCTGTGGCGGGATCTGATACATTAACGGGACATGAAGTCATGAAGACATGAAGTGTGTGTGTGTGTGTGACGAGCCTTTTACCGCACGGAACTGGAAGTGAGTTTAGGAGGCTTCAGCTCGTGAATATGAATGTTTGATGTTGTTGCTTGAGCAGCCTATAGTCACGTGATCGAATTAATATTGAGCAGGCCCTGATTTTACTGCTCCGTGTGCGTGTGTGTGCGCGCGCGCGCGCGTGTGTGTGTGTGTGTGTGATTTGGGTTTCCCTCCAGGGATAATACTCTGAATTTTTGAAATAGAAAACCAAAAATTTGTTTTTGCTGTCCTGGAATTTGTGACTTTATATTTAATATGTGAACTGTGTACAGGTGTGTGAAGGACATTTGTGTGAGGATACGGTGTGTGAGGATACAGCCAGGTGTGTGTTGATAGTCAGTTCAGACATCTTAAAGCATCATGAAACCAAAACATTTTTTTAGATGTGAACATCATGAAAACCCTCATACACACATTTGATCCATTGAGTGGAAATTGGTTGTTTTTGCATTTAGTAATTAAAATATAAGTGTGTGTGTGTGAGAGAGAGAGAGTATGTGTGTGTGTGTGTGTGTGTGTGTGTGTGTGTGTGTGTGTGTGAGAGAGTGTGTGTGTTTGTGTGTGTACACTCTTAAAAATAAAGGTTGTTTGTTGGCATCTGTGGTTCCATGAAGAATCTTTAACATCCATGGAACTTTTATTTCTACAAAATGTTCTTTAGTTTAAATGTTCTTTAGATTATAAAAATGTTCTTTGCTCTGACAAAAACGCTTTTTTTAAGTAATATAATATAGTCTTTCAGTGAAAAGTAAATAAAGCTCAGAGAAACTGGTGCTCACACACACTGTCCGTCAGCTCACGGCTTTATTCGACCACACGGGGATGTGATCCACAGATGACAAAACAGAGGACAGAAACAAAAGCTTACAGAATATAGCACACAAAAATATTCTAATGTACAAAAAAGTGTTATAGAATATATACTGCATTTCTGTGACATTTATTACTATATAAATCTCTCTTTAAATATATCAGAACCTTTCTAATGTGTAACTGTAGTTCATGTGATCAGTGCGTCAGGAGTGTTTATGCACATTTACAGGAGAAAGCGCACGATTAAAGGCACAGACACGACACGGCAACGAGAAATCATCATCATCAGAGAGGAAAAGCAGGAGCACGTTTCCCGACACACAGGTGCAAATAAAGAGAAACAGTGTTGAACAAATAACACAGTGCTTCAGTCTCTCTAATGCACACACACATATACAACCAGGTGCACACACACCACAGAAGCTCTCACACACACCCACATCGTACACACACACACAGCTTCTCATTATTGTTACATTAATATGAATCTCTCTTTATGTATGACACTATTTTATAAAGTCACATCCATGACATCATCACACCTTGCACCCGTGACATCATCACACCGTACATCCGTGACATCATCACACCTTGCACCCATGGCATCATCACACCTTGCACCCGTGACATCATCACACCTTGCATCTGTGACATCATCACACCTTGCACCCATGACATCACACCTTGCACCCGTGACATCATCACACCTTGCATCCATGACATCATCACACCGTAAGTCTGTGACATCATCACACCTTGCATCCGTGACATCATCACACCGTACATCCGTGACATCATCACTCGCTCAACCAGCAAACGACGCACCCGTATTACAACCACAACTTAATTCATGTTTAGCCTGATGAGTCTCAGAAAC